GATTACTCACATGTAAATGGTGTCAGGTTCCAGGCATCGAATAATGAGTGAGATGGTGGTGAGCTGCTTGTCTGGCACCTGAGATGGCATAGCACAAGGAGACTTGGCTCCAGAGATGATATCGTCCACAAAGCTCAGCACCGTTTCTGCCCAGAGGGAAAGGAAGGGAAAAGGCATGAGGAACAGTGATGGCCAGGCAATGAGAAGAAGAAATCAACTTAAGAACTTTATATTAAAATTGCTCAGTCCGGGGCCAGCCATGGTGACACAGCCGTGACACAAGGCACTGTGAGGCTGAGGCCACATGGGAAGGTCTCAGGACACAGCATGAGGTCTCCCTGAGCATGCTGGGCACATGCATGAGTGCCCATGATCCTGGCTTGCAGGATTGTGGGTAGGATTGTGGTAAGAAAACTCAGCTGGAAATGTTTCCCTTTCTCTTTCTGTCTTTCCTTCTCTCTTTCTCCCTCATGTCTTCTCTCATGGAAGAAATATAACTCTAAACTTAAAAAGAATTGTTTAGTCCCCAATTTTCTCAAATTCCTAGATGAAAAAGGAGACCTAGAAGGAGTGGTCTTTTCTGGCTGTTTCATAGTTAATCAATTGATTTAGAGCCAATTGTTCCAGACCTAGTTTAGAAACAACTAAGGCAGGATGTACATACTACAGCTGCAAGCTCTTTCTTGGCACGGACAGAGAATAGATATTCTGGTTAATGGTCACTGCTGTATCTTGACAATACCTGTGCACATCAAAAAGAAAAAATTAAGAGGGGGTGCAAAAAAAAAAAAAAAAGCAGTAGACAGCTCTCTATGGCATGAAGGCAAGCATAGACGTGTCCAAGCCACAGTGACAAGTTCACCAGAAGCTATTTATTCTAGACGCCACCATCCTGTTGGTGACGACATCTCGTGCGCAAGTTTCAGGGATTATTTATGTTGACCTTTCTCTATGTGTAGACAGTGAAATACTGAGGAATGGAACATTTTTTGTGGGGTATTTCCCCTTTTCTAAGGCTTCCCTCTTCTAGCTGGACTTGACAAAAGAAGAGTTTTCTTTAGGACAAGACACGAAGCGAGTGCATCTGTTTGCACAGGATTTTGCCTGGAGGGGGGTTATTAGCAAAGGAATGTTTTTTCTGTAATCATGGCAGTGGTTAGCAAAAAATTGTTTCCTAATTGTGGGCTAGGATAACTAGTGTACTGTATTGTTTCTTTGTGAGTGAGCCTAGAGGCAATGAAATGGACACCTCTCTTATAAACAGAAGAAAAGCAAAATCAAAACAAGACTGTCAGAAGCTCATGATACAAAACTCTTAAATAGACAAGATGGCTGCTGTAGGAAGAGACAGCAGCTGCTTCTGCTCCTGGCTCCTCCTTCATTGCCCTGGGATATTGGGGACGTGCAGCAAAGCCACGAGGCAGGACATTTTGCTTTAGTTTGATTTTTCAACACCGTGGATCAAGACTAGCCCATGAAGTGGGGGATGCTCACCTGTCTCTACTTTGGAGTGGTCCATCCTGTCTGTGACTTTCTCTTGACGGATGAGGTAATCTACAACTTGTACCCCAATGGGTGGCTCTGAGTGCTCCCATTCCAGAACTAGGAGGGTGCTGCTGGGTTCATGAACCATGGAGAGTCTCAGTCTGAAAACAGGAAGGAACACGGAATGAGGACCCACTGAGACCTGCTCTGGTCAACAGACACCTTTTGATTGTCACACTGTAAATTCCTCTTTCTTAGCCAACTACTGCGTGTGCCAAAATGATCTATTTCAGGGCCTGTCTCTTTTACTAGATAGTGAGGTTCTTAAGGACCCTTAAGATCTACACTCTATGCATTGAAATGTCTGTTACAGATTAGAAACTCGACCTATGTTTTGTCAGTTTTAATAAATAAATGAGTAGGTGAGTCAAAGATGAATGAATGATGTTACATGGGTCAGGGATAGGACTTTTGAGATAGTACTGATTTATATGGCTTTAAAATATAATTTCCAGATTTGCTTTTGAAAAACACTAAGGGGATGCATGTGTAGTGTTTATATAAAGGCCCATGGAAGATAGTGTCCAGGAGAACTACACATTAATAAGGCCTTAGTTAGTTTGGTTTCTATACCATTACCAGGATTTACCTGATAGTAAGGGAAACTCTGGCTTCTCCCTCTTGCTCTGTATACTAATCATCTTCCCCAGGCTATCTGTTGGCCAGGCCTTGGAATAGGATCAGTTTGGAAGTAATGCTCACAGGCAGCATGACTAGGCAAAAGAAAAGTTGGTCACGTGCTAAGTTCTCCCTGGGGTGATATTCTGTGCCTGCTTGCTCAGGTTCTGATTTCAGTTTCTTTGTTCTTGGGTTTCTATAAATCCTGGTTCCTGGTCCCTGGTTCCAGTCTCCTTGTTTTTCCCAACTCTCCTCCTTCTTTATAAGTTGTCCATTTTAACCACTGTCTTTCGTCATGATCTCGTACCTCTTAGTACTTTGCACAGACTCAGTATTCGTTATTGACATTCATTGGGCTGGATCTCCTACTTGCCCAGTGGTTTCTCTTCAGTACCTTGTTCTTATCTCATGTATGTCTCAGGTTTCTTCCTTGCCTCTAATTCCCTGTTTCTTCCTAGATCACTGGATTCCGGGATCTGTCCCATTTCCTGTCTCATTTCCAGTCTCCAGCCCTTGCAAATATCCCTGCCTTTCACCATCCTTGGTTCCCTGATCTCATGACCACTCATAGTCCTGGCCCTCTTACCTTCCACTCAGCTCCCGGGTGCATGCTATTGATTTCAAGGATCACGAGGCAGGATACTGTAAGTGGACCACATGAAACCATGTGCAATGTTCAATTTCAATTCAAGAAATAATTATAAAGTACTCATTACCTGCAAGGATGTCTTTGATGCTGGCTGTGCAGTAGTGCACAAGATCGCCCTTTCTTTTATGGAACATTTCAGTGAGCAACAAAAAGACGGAAGGGGTGGTTTTCAAGAAGTTCGTGGAAAAAGCACATTGAAAAAAATTGTGGATTTCTAAATACTTTGCATCAAAATAAACCCATACTTTCATTCTATTTTTTCTGAGCTTTTTAAAACGTTTTTAAAAATTTATTTTATACATCACTGTATTTCATTACAGCTTGCAAAATGAACTTTCCCAGCATGAATACACTGTATATTGGTCCAGTTAAAGATGTTATCATACATGCTATCATCAACAGATAATTTTCCATTTTTGTGTCCCTTAAATGTTTTTCTTTATTTTTCTCCTTGGTTCCCTTCCTCTCACCCATTTTCCACCTTCCTCTCACGCTGTTTCTAGTATATGTAATTGTTTTCCATGCTTTTATATCTTCCAATCTTCCAGTTTCTGCCAGAGTGCAGAAATGCAGTATATATTAAGTGGATAAATACGATGTCTCTCTTTCATAATCTGGCTTGCTTCACTCAGCAGTAAATCTTCTATATTCATCCACTTTCCATCAACTGCCAGGGTCTTGGTTTTTTAATAGCTGAATAGTATTCCAAAGTGTATATGTGTCACACTTTTTCAATCCACTCATCTATTCACAGACATTTGGATTGGTTCCATTTCTTAGCAATTGTGAATAATCCTGCAATAAACATGGCTGTGCAAGCACTTTTCCAGCTGAATGCACTCCTATTCTTTGAGTAGATATGCAGGAGTGGAATTGCTGGATCAACGGTACTTCTACTTGTAGGTGGTTGAGGAACCTCCATATTGTTTTCCACCGTGGCTGTACTAATTTACATTCCCACCAACAGTGTAGGAGAGTTCGCTTTTCACCACAGCCTCACCATCACTAATGTTTTTTTTCTTTTGTTTTGTTTTGCTTTGTTTTAATCTTAGTCATTCATTGTAGGTTTGGTTTGTATCTCCCTTATGATAAGGGATGCTGAGCTTTTTTAAAATATATTTTTTAGCTCTTCATATGTCTTCCTTAGAGAGCTGCCTGTTCAGCTCATTTGCCCATCTTTTAATTAAGTTGATAATTTCCCCCCCCAGGTAAGTTGCTTGAGTTCCCTATATATTCTGGTTATCAGTCCCTTGTCTGAGGCACAATTTGCAAATATATTCTCCCCATTTTGAGGGTTGTTGATTCACTCTAATTATTGTTTCTTTTGCTCTGCAGAAACATTTTTTCTTTCTTTTTTTTCTTGGAGAGGTTTTTGCTATAGGGCACGTGAGCTCGCCAGACAGAGACAGAGAGATAGAAAGAGAGAAATCACCCCCCAGGGGGGATGGCCATACTGCAATCCCTTCTCCTCCATTCTCCTCTCGGGATCTTGGGCACGCACGCACACGCGCCCAGTGTGAGTTCAAGCCCAAGCCACTGGGTCCTGGACGCAAACCGCAGTCGACTACGTGGGAGTCCGGCGACATAGCCATTACACTAACTGCTGATCCCTCTGCAGAAACATTTTAATCTGATGTAATCCTACTTGTCTATTTTTGGAATTATTGTTTGTGCTTTGGGAATCTTATTTAAGAAGTCTTTGCCTACTCTGATGTCTCTAAGAGTTTCCCCTGTGTTTTCCACCAGTAGCTTTATAGTTTGAAGTCTTAGGTTTAGATATTTGATCCATTTTGAGTTGATTTGTGTTAATGATGACAGATAGGAATCCAGTTTTATCTTCCTGCAGGTGGATACCATTTTCCAAAAAGGATTTCTTTTTCCCACCAGATTGACTGGTGCCCTTTGTCAGAAATCAGTTGGCTGTATGTTTGGGATTTCCATGAGCTTTTTAAAAGTCCCCACATATACATTATACAAGTGATTATAATAATGTGTGATAAGAACTTCAACAAGAAATCATGGGAGGCTGTGGGAGCAATAATAAGGAATTACACTAGTGGGAAAGTAATATAAAACACATGCTCTTCTGCTGGTCGCTTACTATGAACGAGTGCATAGTTTGCATATGACATTAAAAATGGAATAGACCCAAAACAGTGCGGATATTGACAAATTCATTAATTAGAGTCATATGCAGAGTGCTATTTTGAAGGAAAAGCATTAGGAAGCTTAAGTCAGTAAGTAAGCCTTTCTGGGAACTCAAATTCTGTGAAAATATGGACTAAGGCCACCCTCTACTGCGAAACAGAAGTGTGTGTGATTTACATGAACTTAAATAAAACTAGAGTGTATTTCTATTTCCAAATGCCAATTAAAATGTAAGAAACTAAGGTCTGCTACTGAAAGAACTGATCAGAGTTTACAAGAAAAGTGGAGCCCTTAATAGACATTTCCTGTTTATGAAAATTTAACCCAATTTGATCTTTAGCCACAACATTCACTAAATGCAAGTTTAGAGACAAAATTAGCTGGAGGATGGATCTTGAATTCACCTAATAACTGGGGTCTTTGGTTTTTTGTTTGTTTGTGAGATTTCTGCTGGAGGGTGTGTACACTCACAAGAAAAACAGAGAGAGAGAAAAAGTGAGAAATTACCCCATGAGGAGATCGCCACGCTGCAATCCCTTCTCCTCCATTCTCCTCTCCAGATTTTGGGCATGCATGCACATGTACCCAGCATGAGTTCAAGCTACTGGGTCTGGGACTCTGTGGTCAACCACATGGGAGTCCAAACCTTAACCACTATACCACCTGCTAGCCCCTCAATGTTATTTTTCTTTTTCTTTTTCTTTCTTTCTTTTCTTTTTTTCTTTTTTGAGAGGTTTTTTGCTATAGGGCACGTGCGCTCGCCAGACAGACAGAGAGAGACATAGAGACAGAAAGCGAGAAATCACCCCCAAGGGCCAAGGGGGGATGGTCACGCTGCAGTCCCTTCTCCTCCATTCTCCTCTCGGGATCTTGGGCACGCACGCACATGCGCCCAGCATGAGTTTTAAGCCACCGGGTCTGGGACGCGAACCGCGGTCGACTACGTGGGAGTTCAGCCACATAGCCATTACACTAACTGCTGGTTCCCTCAATGTTATTTTTCTAAGGTAGTTCTCTCACTTAGTGAATCAGTCTAACAGTCTCCCATTCGCCTAAATGAAAAGACTTACTGATAATGAGCTTGTTCTGTTTTGACTCTCGAGGTCCAAGTCATGACTATGAAGAGCAAAACGACAGTGGCTTCTGTATCTGAAATTGCCTACATAAGGAAGACTGTAGACAAGAAAAGACACTGGCTTGTAAGGGTACACTACTATTGTGTTCTTTCCCAACTTTCTTTTTTTTCCAGTCCTGGCACTTTGATGCCCACTTGTACCTCAATGAAGCAGGACAGAGTAGCCCTCCACTTGTGGTTTATTTCTGCAGTCTTTTGCCCAGGTTTGTTCAGCCCATCCATGGCTATAGGTCCTGATTCTCAGTTTGATCTTTCTTTGTCTTATCAGCCAGTGAAATCATACTCTTCCGGCTTGTCCTACTATCTCTCTTTATTAGACACAATATTTCTGAGGCTTTGCTTCCATGCAGATATCGTATTAGAGACTAAGAGAGATTCCTGCCTTGGGCTTTGACCCCTCAGCTTGGCTGGTACTGTTTAGCCTTCCATTGAGGGGAAGATAGACATGTTCATTCTCAGGCTCCTTTGCAGCACTTCATCCTCTTCACTCTTCAAATGTGTCACCCCATCATGTTCATCCCCAGGCCTCTGCTCTTTTCAGTTGATACTTGCTCTGGAACATTCTTTCTCATAACTGTGGTTTCATCTAATTTCTTTGGGGCTGACTGGAATTTTATGTCTAGCATTCACTTTTTGGCAGTGCTCCAAACCACCTTTCTATCTTCCCACTCGACATCTCTGTAGAGCTAGCCCACTGCAACGCTAATGCGAGGCTGCATGGAACTGGCCTCCTCCTCAAACCTGTATATCCTTGGCTGCTTTCTTTCTCAGCTGTGACCTATTTACCTTCCCAGCTTCTCAGATCAGAAGTCTTATGTACATTCTCAACTTCTCTGCATCCCCACAACCAATCCATCACCAAGTCCTGTTGGTTGTGCTCAAAACCATCTCTTAGTTTTATCTTCTCCATGTTATAACAGCTAGGAAGGTGGTCTGTTAGCCATGGCTTTCCTCCCTGCTCTGTTACCTTGAAAAAATCATTAAATCCATTTGAATTCATGTTTCTCTATTAAACTGGAGATGATCACAGTACCTCACTACCCACACAGTGCCTGGCACCCAGTCTTTGCTGAGGGTAGTGTTGTTGGCATAGTAAAGATCTTATTAAAGAAATTTTCTCCATTGCAATAGCACATTAACTCCTATTATCTTCTAAATATGCTGTCCTACTTAATCCACTATCAAGGAGAAGTTCAAGTACCACCTTTTCCAAGACACCATTGCTGAAATTCAGACTTGACCATTGCCTTTTCACACTTCTTAAAAATGTCTCTTATAACACTTGTCTCACCATTTCTTCTACTATAACAATCTGTGTGCCTGCCTCTCATAGTACTGGGTCATCTAAAAAGTCCTGACACAATTTTGTATAGAAAAACAGAAAAACACGTCATGACTTTCCTCACAACCCAATAGATTAAAAACTCTGGAAGACAGGTACCATGTCGAGTTCTTCTTCCTGTTTCCCAGTATCCAGCCTATTGCTTTGCAAATAGCAAACACTCATATTTATTTGCAGAATGATGCTGGAGCATACACACTGGAGAAAGACAGAGAAAGGGAATCATACATAGGCTGTGGGAGAGGTGCGCAGGTAGGGAGTCCATCAGCTCCAAAAGCAGTGGAATCACATCGACACCAGTCTTCAATGACATCTCCAGTCCCTGAGCACCAGAGAGAGCTCATGGTGGCCTCTTGTAAGAGCTGCATGAGAGAACAGAGAATGAGTCTTGGGAAGCCAGGATCGGTCATCAGAATCAAGAGACAGAGCATCAGGATGTTTTGTGGCTCTTAAATTACTTCCAGCCAGCATGTTGTATTGCCACTTCACTATTTTTTGCTCTAAAATTCTTACCCCAAGAGTCATTTCAGAAACTTAAGCCATGTTGAACTTTTAGAGTATCCTTCTCTCTTAGTATAACAGTCATCCCTATGGCTGAAGGCTGTCGTCTTGGAAGCAAGTCATATCCACCCTCCACCTCCCAATACTCCATCATCCCCCACCTCAGACTCTGAGAACAATGACCTCTTTGCATATGCCTTCTGAGTGGCCCACCTTTACCACTCCGTCTTCTCAGCCCTTTCTTAGCTGCCTCTGTGTGCATCCTTACCACTCTCCTCACCATGCCTCAGGATTTCCTTTTTATTCCTTCAGCACGCCTTGTGTCCTACTTACAATGTACATGCAACCCTGCCGTGGGTTGTGATTAGGCATTAGGCATCTCTTCAGAGGCCATGACAAGAGTAGCAGCATGGCACACAGGCTAAGAATTGTAATGTGGAGCAGTCTGTCCTGGTAAGAACCCAGCTTTGTCAATCACTGCCATATGACCTTGAGCAAGTTACATAAAACTCAGTTTCCTTGATAATAAAATAGGACAAAAATAGCACTTTCCTAAAAGAGTTGTTGACAGTTAAATAAAATATGTCAAATGAAATAATATATGTACTAGTCACCAATAAATACCAGCAATCATTATTGTCTTTGAGTGTCAGGGTTGAGTTTTATGTAGAACCTTATAGCCACCACAGAACCTAGGACAATTTTATACATGCAGTGGTTTCATAGAGAAGTCTACTATTAAATAAAAGAACCTATAAATAAATAAAATGTGGACCACTGAGAGAGCAGAATTTGTGAGAGAGATAATTTCCTAGTGAGGAAGCTGATGAGAACCAACCCTTCAGTGGGACTTTGCTGCCTCAACCCCAGCCCAGGGTGAGGAAGAGGGTGAGACTGGCCACAGGGTGCATGGGTATTCCAAGTCAGTCAAGCTTAGTGCTTTCTCTCTAGGTCGATTCAATATTTACAGACCTGGATTTTCATGTGATTCTTTTCTTCCTGTTCTACTCTCATCACACCCATGTCTAGCTGATGAATTAGAGAAATGAAATCTAGCTATCCTGGGAAAGTTTAAGCCAAAGAAAAATTTTAAAGAAAAAAAAAAGGAGGGAAGAAAATAAAAAAGAGAGAAAGGGAAAGAAAGGAAAGAAAAAGAAAGGAAGAAGCAAAGGAAAAAGAATGAGAGAACTCTACATGTACCAGAATGTCCAAACCTAAAGCCTGTGTCCTAAGTCCTGCTCTTCCAAGACTAAACATAGGCCACTTTAGCATAGAATAGTTGGATAGGAGCCAGCCAGGTTGCATAGTGGTTAAGGTAGCTGGATCCTACATGGCCAACTTCATGGTTTTGAGTCCTGGACCTGGTGGCTTGCAAGACACACCAGGCACATGTGCCCAAAATCCCAAGAGGAAACTGGAGGAGAAGGGATTGCAATGTCACCATCACCCCTGAGGGATGATTTCTACTTACTCTCTTTTTGCCTCTCTCCAATAAGCCCATGTGCCCTATAGCAAAACAGTGAAAAAAATATATATAGTAGTTATAAATATATATATATATGAGTTATAATAAAAATCCCTACTGACTTCCTTGCTAATCTGGGAGCCTCTAAGGAGTGAGAACAAATTGTTGATAATAGTTGCGATTCGTGTAGACTTTTATCATTTCTTATGCCCTTTTGGAAGGTAATAGGTTGATAAAAGGTTACCATGATTTACAGTGGAGGAAATTGAGAATCAGAGTCTCAATGCCTTGCTCAGGGCCACAGGCCAGTGAATGGGGCAGCACCACACCCAAGCCCAGCATGACTCACTGGCATCTTGGGCTCTTTCAGTCAAGAGCTCTTAATCCATGCTGCATCCACCTGTATGAAGCCTGCTGCAGAGTAGGTGCTCACATTTTGCTTTTCCTGAGACAAACCAAAGGTGCATTATTTAAGGCTAGAAAAACAGATTTCCTTTGAGATAGGTGGAATAAGAAGAAATCGCCACCGCAGCTTTACAGTTTTCAACTATTATTTGCTAAGCACCTGTCAGGGGCCATTTCCTGTAAGCATTAAGATTACAATGACACATAAGATGTATATGAACATGTCTGCATAAATCTCACAGCCATACAATAAACAAAAAAGCAAAAGTTACATAAATAACAAATACACACAATTCTCAAGAAAGCACTCGCAAGGAAAAGGGTAAAAGGCTATGAATGCATATGGAGACAGGAAGGATAAGGAAGGGTAGATAATCTCATAGATGGGTCTGGGAAGGCCACCATGAGGGTGTGACATTTTTACCTGGCTTCTGAGAGTTAAATCAAAAGTTATCTGGTCACAAAAGTTGAGGTCGTGTTACAGGTAAAATTAAATTAAATTAAATTAAATTGAAACTCTGTTAAGAGGACATCAGCCTATTTTTCAAGCCGCCAGGTCACGGACTTGAACCATACAGTTGATCATGTGGGATCCAGCTGCCTTAATCTCCATGCCACATGCTGGCCCCATTCATTCATTTACTGACCACTTCCAGGCATGAGGATTCCATAGAAGAAAAATCTTTCCCCATAGCCTGGAAGGAAGTTTTTAAAAAACTATGTAAATAACTGATAGCAGGCTATGCATGCTTTAAGAAATGTGTGTACATTGACAATGGGAATTACGTGAATGAATACCTGGGTTAGCTCTTATAGCTGGTGACGTTTGAGTTGAAACTTGAGTAATAGAAGGAGTTTGCCAGTGGCAGAGTTGTGGAAAAGACATTCTTGGGACAGAGAGTTGTACATCTGAAGGGCCAGATGCATGAGAGAAAATGAGTTGCGTTTAAGGGAGTAAAATTTTGAGGTATAGAGTAATAACCTAACCACATAAGTAAAGACAAAATTGGGTCATGAACTGTCTTATAATAATGTTGTATTCAATAGATTCTACAGAGTCTTTCAATTATTTTGGTTCAATATGGCCAGAAGACCATCTTAAATCACATTAGAGATCACTCTGGGTGAGAGAGACTAGTAAGAAAGCTACCATATTAAGATGGTCCCTGATGCTGCAATAAATATCTGAAATAGACTATAACAGAGTAGGAATAACATATAAGGAAGATGGATTCAGAGATATTTGTGGCTCTTGGACTAGATATTGGGAATGACAAAGAAGTCTTTGGAAGCATCCCTGGTCTCCAGTTTGGGTAATTTAATGGAACCCAGTGGCATTCAGTAAGGTGGAAGTACTATAGGTGTGGGTTTTGGGGTGGAAGAGAGCGAGCTCGTTTGTTGGGTTTGAGATACCTGGTTTGACTTGCTCGTCTTTATCACAATCACAGATTACACTAAAATATGGCATCGGAGATTAGTACAACAGAAGGATAATAGTAAGATCAGGAGAAATTAGAACATGGATCTGAAGATCCACCAGCAAAGTAGAAATAGAAACACACTGAGTTACTGATGTCTAAGTTATTAGCATCCTTCTACTGTCCCTTAGCTTCGTCTCTCTTCATCTCTGTTCTTTGGAAGAAAAGGCAAAATTAGAAGAAGAAAAAAAAGAACAGAGAAATAGAGAGGGTAGTAAAGACATAATATGTCTAAGGGAGAAAGGAAAGAAGAAACATATGATGGAGGCTGAGCTCCAGCTAGGACCACCTAGTCTATGAGTTGAGTCATTAACATTTTGAGTTCAAAATATGGCCACATGGAAACCATCTCCCAGCTCCTCCCTATTGGTGCACAGAGAGAGAAATTGGCCAAGTTTTGGCAAAAAGGGGATCCGGAAAAGCGGTTGCTGAAGACAAACCTCCTTCAACTTCCTCAATTTGTTTGAGATGCCCTTGTACAAGGCAATGCCTACACGTTCTCCTCTCCTGCCATCTCTTCTCAATTCTGCAGTTTTGCATACCCTATTCCATGGGATGCTTCTGAGTGAGTTTTCTGACCCCACTGTTCCCAGGAAAGTGGCAAGGGATTCCTGGGGTATCTGTTGTAGCACTCCTGGATGCTCAAAGCAGACTAAGTGGGGTGAGTAGGGGATGCTGAGCACTAGGTCAAGTCACTGAGGCCTTGGGTTTCCATGGTGACGACGCTCCTCCTCTTCATCCTTACAGGTGTCTCCTCCACTGGCCTCTTCTATCCAGCTCCTCTTCCCATAGATATCTCAACCAAATTGAAAGGAAGTTGTAGGCCACAGGAACAATTTGTCTTTTTGTTTCTGTGAAAAACCTTATTCCCAAACACCCCATAGAATATCGGAGGCAGACGTGGAAGGTGAGAGAAACACAAAATCCCTCCTGTTGGTCTGAGCGTCCCCTATGAAACAAACTGTGACACACCAGGTGTCCATTAAAAGAGAAAAAAGAAAGCAATTTTCACCCCTAGATGGACACACCTCTCAGGCAGGTAAGCAGCTCACTGCTGCAATGCACGCTGTGTCTTGTCCCCAAGACCGACTTTCCTAAAGTCCTGGAATTCCACCCTTGGAGTTCCTTGTTTCCACTTTTGACATCGTTCCTATTGCTGTTGTTCTGGGTGTTTTGATTCACTCTGATCTTTTTTTTCTTTCTTTCTTTCTTTTTTTTTTTTTTTTTTTGAGAGGTTTTTGCTATAGGGTGTGTGTGCTTGCCAGAAAGACAGAGAGAGACAGAGAGACAGAAAGTGAGAAATCACCTTCCCCCAGGGGGGATGGCCACGCCGCAATCCCTTCTCCTCCATTCTCCTCTCAGGATCTTGGGCACACACACACACGTGCCTGGCGTGAGTTTAAGCCACTGGGTCCGGGACTCGAACCACGGTCGACTACGTGGGAGTTCAGTGACATAGCCATTACGCTAACTGCTGGTCCCTTGATTCACTCTGATCTTTATGTCCTTGATGAGGTTGAAGAGCTAGAAAATGAGTGAAGTCCCTACCTCTGCTACATTTCTCCAGTTTACCCTTTTGGGTCAATTCATTTTCTCTGGTATCTTTAGAAAGGTAAAAGCAGAGGTAAAAGAGAAAGAGGAGAGAAATGTCAAGAGTCGTGACTTTGCAGTATAATAAAAGGCAGGAAGATTGTGTGGACCTGGAGTTTTATTCATGGAGCCAGAGGGACAGGTAAGGAACCTCCAGACTAAGACTGTCAGATCCCTCCTTCAGAACCTATGCCTCCTTGCAGTCCAGCTGCAGCTTACTCCAGGCTTATTTGGGGAGCTGACCCACCTCCCAGGCCAACAAGGGTGACAGATCTGAGTCATGAGGGCTCTCTAAACAATGGCTTTGGGCTAGCAAATGCTGTGTCTCCCTATGTATTTAGTTCCTTCTGGGTATTTTGCTCATCAAAGACCTACACTAGTGCTAAGTTGTGGCTCCTGAATCACATTACCGTGGGTGTTATGGATGCATTGATTTGACTTAATATGCAAACATGCAAATATAAGCAAATCATGTGCTTGGATTAGCTGAACAAAAAGCTTCTCTATCCTAGCATGGAGTTCAATTGCTCCTGCCATTTTCTGAGGTTATTTATGAAGCCTTCTGCTGTTGTTGATGTCTCTCAGAGTCAAGAGTCCCAGGCCTCTTACCCTTTGGGTCTGGTTGTTGGCTACCAGTTCATAGATGGGAGCTGCTCTGGTCACCTCCAGCAGAACCGGCTCAGCAGGGGTCTCAGGGCTGGATGTCACATGACACAAAGGGCAGGAAGAGGGGCATCGTCCCTTGCTCTGGCACTCCATGCGGACTCCAGCCGCCATGCGCTTGGTGCCAGAGTCTGACAGGCTGGCGATGTACTCTGGGAACGTCAACACCTTGGGGTCTCTTTCCCGCTCCTCTGACTCATCGGATGGGGAGTTGCCTGCCAGACACAAAATGAAAAGAAACAATGAGGGAAGTGAAAGAGCAAGGATTGGCATGATCTTGTGGCTCTCTGATTTCTGTGATGCGGCCCTAGAGAGGTCATAAAATGCCACTGAGAGGGTAAGAATGCAATTCTGTCATGTCACTTAATTTGGGGCACCCACTTTCTCAGTGACCTGAATGACCCTCTAGTGGAGAGCAGGCTGTTCCTTTCTTGAATCATCAGCTCCACTTGTCCTCTCAGAGGTGCTTCTGATGGGCATGTGTCGATGAGTGCTGTGGTGGGAACATGACCCTCCAAATCCATCTGCTGGATGTTGGTTCCATTGTATATTAAGAAGAGACTTAATCTAATTGTGGACCTGAAAGGTGGGGCTTTGGGGAAGTGATTAGGCATCAGGGTGAGGCTCCCATGATTGAGTGCTGGTGGGTTTATAGGAGAGGGAACAAGACAGATGGAGACATAGTCTGCTCTGCTCAAGCTCTTGCCCTCTACCATGTTATCCACCAGTGAGAAGACCCTCCCCAGATGTGGCCCCTGGGCCTTGTGCTTCTAAACTCTGAGCTAAATAAACCTCTATTTTTATAAATTACCCAGATTCAGGTAATTCTGTTACTGGCAATGGAACAGAGTAGAACAATGACCACCACCACAAACACAAACAGTAACAATGGGGATACATAACTCAGTTTCGTCACCTATAAAGTGAAGGTAGTAAGAGAATGTACCCCTACCACTGTGAAATGAGTGAATGGCAAAATGTCCTTCGAGCACATAACACAGTGTCTAGCACATGTCAAGTCATCATCACAAAAAGTATAATAGTAACTATAGCCAAGATTTATGAAACCTGAACTATAAAAGTAAGATTCTTTAAAGATCTTCTGTAACCAATACAATAACTCTCTTTATGAAGTTCAACCATTATACTCATTTATATATCAAAAAAGTGAGGCCAAGTGCTCAAGGTCACATAGCTAGTATATTAGAAGAGCTGGAATTTGAATCCACTTTTGTCTGATTCCAATGTCTTTAAATCATAGAGAAAGAACAGGACAGCTATTTCATTACTGATCAAAGCTTTGGGGATGAGGAGGGAATTTTGACTTTTCAAAGATTTTCACTCCAAAACCTGGAGATGAGCGCAAATCATTCTTGTTCAACAAGTAGAATGTAGTTAGAGAAGCTCTTGGCATAATTTTGGTGACAACTGTGGGAAATGCCCACCTCAGAAAAACGGTTTGTTTCCTACACAAGAAAACAATGCTTTCTATTTCTCTTCTCAGTCCTCATGATTCTCTATTAAACTGATTAGTTTTAAAGGAAGAAGAGTTCTGGCAAAAAGCACTGGGTTCCTTAAGAGGTTCCAGACTCCTTTTGGCACAGTTGTGGTCTTGAACACAAAACAGTTTCGGTGAGACCTCTGTGCTTTTGGACATACTGAGCATATATAGAACATCCATTCTGCTCCTCTTGGACTCATCAAGAACACAATACTTGATGGGCTGGATCTTTAGGGGAACCGGTTGGAAGAATTTGCTAAGTGGTTCCAGAAGGTGACTGTGAGATATGACTCACTGACTCTTTAAAGGAGTTCTCTCTTACAGGGTCCAGGGAACGCTCTGCCATTCTCCTTCTTGTTTTCCAAATAATATGAGCCCATTTGGAAATGTCATGGGGCATTTCAGCACTGTTGTTTCCCGGATGAGTATCATCATTATGCGGAAGAGGCATTTTCACCCAGCAGCTCCATTGACAGACTCCTCCTGTGAGCTAAGGCACAGGACTCACTCAGTGCCTATAAATATGAGCTATAATTTATTCCACATTTGCATTTTGTTTAATAATGGATCCAGAGTTGATCTCAAATCTTCCCTATGGTAGAATGTAAGAGAATTGCATAACTGCACACACCGAAAGCAAGAGTAGAATGAGGGTATCAAACAGAAGACTGACAGCCCATACCGACTAGCCCCCAATTCACTTTAACCCAGGGATAAATTTTTATTGACATTTGGAAATGTCAAATATTTTTTAACAAGTCAAAATTCCCTCCCCATACCCAACAATTACTAATTTATTAGTCATGAAACAGAAGTCCTACTCTTTCTCTATGACCTGAAGACTTTGGAATCAGTCAAACATGAATTCAAATCCTAGCTCTTAGAATACACTAACTGTGTGACCTGGGGGCTCTTGGACTCACTAACCTTATCTATTAAATGAGAATAATAGAACTCTATAAAGAGAGTTGTTGTAAGTTAAAGAATATCTTGAATGGATCTCACTTTCATAATACGGGCTCATTAAAACTGGCATTAGTTAAATTTAATTCAGTCAACTCCATGAAGTGGCCATAGTATGGCCCAAGGCTCTCTTCGTTCAGCCCCTGGCCAGGTCTCCAATCTGCTTTGTGAACTAGGCAGGAAAAAGTGCAGATAGGGTGAGGTCTTTGGGTAGTTGCTGTGATTTCTAGGCAAACCAGCCATCACTTATTGGGAAAGTGAATGAAATTCAAAATGATAATAATATAGATTGAGTATTTCTCTTCAAAGAGTTTTGAAATTTTGCTATGTAAACCTTGCCAGGGGTAGAGGGCCTCTTTATTGAATCTTTGGCATCTTATAATAAGATACATTTCCTGGGACTAGCAGGTGGCATAATGGCTATGTCCCTGGACTCCCACATAGTCGACCACGGTTCGAGGCCTGGACCTGGTGGCTTAAACTCATGCCAGGCGTGTGTGCGTGCGTGCCCAGGATCCCAAGAGGAGAATGGAGGAGAAGGGATTGTGGCATGGGCATCTCCTCTGGGGGTGATTTCTCACTTTCTGTCTCCCTGTCTCTGTCTGTCTGGCGAGCGCACATGCCCTATAGCAAAAACCTCTCCAAAAAAAGAAATAAGATACATTTCCTTACTAACCCACAACCTTCATACATTCAAGAGACCAGAAAAAAACTCCTTGAAGTGGCCACTAGATGGTGACAGCAAGTCTAAAATGACTGCTCCGTGAAGTGTTGGTAGATTTTGATTTTTGTGTGACCACTTGGCACCACAGAAAATAAACTTAAGGAAAAGTAACACATGGCTATTTTAATTTTTTTTATGGAAGCACAGCATGTCTCCTCGACTGGATGATAAAAAATTAAAGAGTAAAATAATTCCTTAACACGTATCCTAAGAAGAAAAATATAGAGTGAGAGACATGGGTATTAACAGGACAATTAAGGGAAAATACAACTCACAAGGGAAAATAAAAATACCCCTTAATGCCCTAAAATGGAGTAAAAGTTACTTCGAAAGGGAAGTAATACACCACCAAATTCCTATTCTCTCACCTTTAATCCCCGAATACCCAGGAACTCTTCCCAGCTCCTATAAAAACACCCAGATAGGTAACCCCTGCTCACACAGCATTTAGGATTTGCTGAGCTGACAGACAGGGTCCACTAGAGGGCACTGCAACCATCATAGAGGAGCTGAAAGGTTGACAAGCTCCTGCTCTCAGGCTTTCTCCAGCTCTCCATCAGTAAGGCTTGTAATTGCTGTAAACATTTCAGGTTGCTCCCCTTGCTGCTGTCTTCTGGCTCTCCCAATTAAAATCAAGATGTAGCTAATCCCCTCAATATCTTTCAGCCCTAGATACTTGGCAAGGTTAGGGAGCAGAGAGGGATAGGGAGGAGAACACAGAAAAAGATGGCAAGAGGCTACCACCTCTCATTTTAATTCGGAATCATATTTTTTTGACTCCTGAATATATTAAACCCCATATAATAAGGGTCTTGCTGCAGGTTAAGACCAACTGCTTCTCTGGTCCCCTTGTCAGAAAGGATAGAGCTGTTTAGAGAGGAGCTGAATTTACACGGAAGTCCTAGGCAGAGAGCTCCCGAAAACCATCCATTCAGTTTCCAGCAAAGAATAGAGATGTGTGTGTGAGAGAGATTTTTCAAAGAGGAAATGCATTTTCTATGTGCAGTTAAAGATACAATTGGGAAATACTCCTTAAAATGATGGAGTCCAGTGGTGAAAGCCCAGATAAATCTCCCTTAGTCCAAAGAGACCACCTGTAACCATCATGTCTATGGCAAGTTAAAGAGCAGTTGCGGCTCTAAAAGCTTTAGCAGAGGCTGATCTCTGACACCTGCTTTCACTTCCTCTGTGCTGGAGTGATGGTAGAGAGGTTCGTGTGTGGAGAACCATATCTCCTCATGGCTTGATGGTGGTTCCCTTCCATCACCCACTGCTATTACAGTTCTTTGGTACTTCGTTCCTCTCCTATCTGTAGGGCCTGGGTTGAAATGCACTCGTAAATTAAGATATCATACTATTTTTAGTCAAATGGATAAGAACACAGTGTCTGGACATAAGAAAATAGCTACAGCTGAGGTCTCAACAGATTATAATTGAGCCCTGGTGGCACAGTTGGTAGCAAACTGAACTGCAATGCTTTGAAGCCACATGGTCAACCAAGAGTTTGAATTTCAGGTCATCCTGAAGATGCACTAGATGTCTGTGCATGTGCCCAAGATCCTGGGCAGCTTGAGGGCCTGAGAAAGGGGATCAGGGCATGATGAAACCTTGATGAGGGTGCTTCTCTCTCTTCCATTCCACACACTCTCCATCAAGAATAAAATACATAAACATAAAAAAAATTACAATGGGCAAAGATGCCTTCTCATAAAGAATACTCAGGCAAAATTCACTCCCTGCTCTCAGGGGATGCTGTGGAATTAGTAATCCTTCTCTCTTTCACAAACAGAAGAGCATCCTACCTGGAATGCAGCTAACAATCTTAAAACTGCAAAGCATTTTGCAAATACAGTTTGCTATAAATAAATGCCATTTGCTTTAGGCTAAATCTGTATCCTACAGCACACGGTGGATGCATTTCCCCAATAGAATATGATAGTATAAGAATATTGGCATCCGTAATGTTCACAATTGCATTGTAGATGTGCCCATGGCCCTAGGCATGTACATATTGACCCACCTAGACT